GACGCTCCATCCCTGAATAACGTGAGGAATCCAAGCCGACTCTGCAGACATAGGCAGGGTGTTCTCATAGGTTCAGGGCTCAGGGGACATTCCTATTTTGCAGGAAAAAGAATGAGATTCTGGTTAGGGGTTCCAGGATGGTTCTTCAAGAGGCGGAGTCAGCGGTTCTAGCACAGATCTTTCACCAAACTGTCCAGTTCACCACACATTTACCAGTGCTGACTCTACATGAAACCCTGCCTGCCATAGAGAAGTCACATAGAAGCTAAGACAAAGTCCTCACCATCAGAGGGCTTACATTTATGCCAGAGGCCGGTCCATATTGTTGCTTGACACAGTCGCTGAAGGGAAGAAACATCTGCACAGCATATGTTTCAAGGGGAGACTTAAGGTACATAATCTTTACTTAGGATAATCTCCTTCAGTTACTTCCTTGTAGCTTAACAGAACAAGAGAGTAGTGACCTTGGAATGGAGATAACTAGCCCTAACCTTTGGAATAGAATGGATAGGGTTAAACTCAACAGAACTAGATGGAGATGGGATTTTTGGCAAAGATCAGATAAGAAACTATGGACATGAAATAAGGAACGGCAGAAGGTCAAGGGAGGACCCAAAACATACCATGTGATTATAGAGGCATGCTTATAGGATCAAATGGTAGAAATACAGATGTAACAGGAGAATAAAGAGAAAACCTGGCTATGCTGATCAACTGAAGGCTGTCTCCGAGTCATTCCTTCTTCCCCGACTCCTTTGGGAACCCCTGGACCTGATGGGCCTGGACCCCAACACATTTAGGGGCACAGGGCTCGCACGCGCAGAACGCTAACTCAAACCAGAATAACTCCTCTATTAAAATAAATGGGTTTCGTTCAGAAAAAGGACACTCCCAAGAACTGACTGAGAAACACTGGAGAGAAAATACTCATTAATTTTGGGGGTGACTTAAGGAGTGACTTAACAACGACCGCACCAGCTCCCCGATTGGATGCGGGTGGTCAATTGCCGGACAGACGTGGGATCATCGTTTCCCAAGGATCAGAGACAAGGTTTTTTCGGGGAAGACAGAGCTACGCCCGG